GCTAGCCGTCCCTAATTTAGCAGCGAAACAATAGAGGGAAGACAGCTAGTCATCACCACCCACCGCCAACTCTTGAGCTACTCTTTTACCAACGATTAGTGGAATTAACCGTCACATTATAACATCCCCACAGCTGAAAGGGCGAACATGTTTGGTGTGACGGGGATTCGAACCCGCGACTCGCAGATTGCGAATCGAGTGCCCTAACCACCTGGCCAGGCCGGGCCCAATACTGTTGTTAATGTATGTGTTACTAAAAGTATAAAATGAAATGTATAAACTGGGAATATATTTTTTGATTTCTTAATTTAGTCTCCATTGATTAAACGTGTTTTTTAACTTAAAAACATTGGTGATGAAACAGAAAATAGCTTAATTCAGAAACACTTTAATCGATATTTTTACTTTCATGATAATTTTATGCACTTAGCTCTAGGATAGGTTATCTCACACTATGTCTTTACTTTAGGCTTATTTATCAATTTTAAAATCATACCAATATTCACTACACTTACAAGGTTTCACGGCCCACGTCACTAAAATCGTAATGCATGCCAAAACTGAAACAGAAAAGCTGCGATTTTCATTCGCATAAACCAAAAGAAGCTCTGGGTTGAAGACTGTCCAACTACGGTTTGCTAAAATAGGTTCAGAATACACACATTGACATAGTAATCTAGAATGTATCAACCTGATAACCCGAGCGAAGCCGGGTACTTTCGCTAGTGTATAACTGTTAGATTGAACGTCATTCTGATAGCAATTAGACATTTACTTTTCTAAATTTGAGGTTCGTATAACATACACTTAACTTCTTGAACATGGTTTGGGAGAAATGTTGTAGCGACTGTTTACATAATATATTTGTCATTTGTCTGGTCGTATTTTGTAATATAATCAACATCTATAAAGTCAGATCGAACAAGAAAATGCTGGCTAAACACCAGTACTGGAATAGTGGGATTCGTCTGACACTCTTATGACGCAACCACGGTTTTGTTTTGTTTGTTTTTTTGAATTTATGCACAAAGCTACACAAAGGGCTATCTGTGCTCTGCCCACCACGGGTATCGAAACCCGGTTTCTAGCGTTGTAAGTCCGCAGACATACCGCTGTGCCACTGGGGGGGGGGCGCAACCACGGTCCCAAAGTGCGAAACTACATTATGCTTCAATGCAACGCGAACCATAAACCTTTGGATTCACAGTCGGGTACGCTAACCATTGAGCCACGCCCGTACCTAATGATTAGCTAACTCCACTATTCCGTGGACAGTAAATTTCGTAAGTCTACCGATAATTCAGTTACTGGCGTTAATTCAGGAAGTTTGACTTATCTTTTAAGCCAATCACATTTTGAGCTACTCTAAGTTAATATCTCAATGATGGCGCGTATAAATCTCTAGGTTCTATCGATTTTCAGTTTACAGTACACGAGCGGTTTATATGTACTCAGCCAACCGTACTGTAAAAAAATATCGCGTACAGCAGAAGTTTTGTAAAGCCGTTATCCTCAATAAAAGACCACTTTTCTATCGTAGAGCTTTAGTTATTGGGTAACTAAACCATAGAAACAGTATGGAAATAATGGCTACTTTATGTAAAGATCTAGAACCTTCGTTTTTAATTGGAAATGCAAATTGTGAGTCTTTTATTGAAAACGTGCAGACATTAAGTAAATAACCAGGTTCGTTCGGTCGAAACGTAATTCGCCCAACTTCAACAAATAGTGAAATCTTTTATCATGTGATTGTTGTAAAAACTGTCAACATATATACGATATACAAAACACCCGGATCTTTCATTGTCTAGCTTAAAGAATATAGGATGAAGCGGTAAATGTAGAATAACCTGGTTAGAACGGCATTTATTGTCTGCAGACGAAAAAAAAAGAAAACAGTTTGGAGGTCTTACGAATTTCAACTAAACATTTTAATAGTGTCGTACATTATTTCTGTCTGCTTAATGTTCTGGTTATCTGTCTATCATCACTTGTTCTGTCCGTATGTATAGAGCATTTCAATGTTCGCTAAACATTACGGTTTTAACACTTATATCAATGTTCACTAGAGATTACGGTGTTAACACTTACATCAATGTTCACTAAAGATTACGGTGTTAACACATACATCAATGTTCACTAGAGATTACGGTGTTAACACATATTTCAATGTTCACTAGATGTTACGGTGTTAACACATACATCAATGTTCACTAGAGATTACGGTGTTAACACATATTCAATGTTCACTAGATGTTACGGTTTTAACACTTATATCAATGTTCACTTGGGATTACGGTGTTAACACATATTTCAATGTTCACTAGAGACTACAGTGTTAACATATTTCAATGTTTACTAGATGTTACGGTGTTAACACATATTTCAATGTTCAATAAAAATTACGGTGTTAACACATACTTCAATGTTCACTAAAGATTACGGTATTAACACATATTTCAATGTTCGCTAAAGATTACGGTGTTAACAGATACTTCAATGTTCACTGAAGATTACGGTGTTTACACATACTTCAATGTTCACTAAAGATTACGGTGTTAACAGATACTTCAATATTCGCTAAAGATTACGGTGTTTACATATACTTCAATGTTCACTAAAGATTACGGTGTTTACACATACTTCAATGTTCACTGAAGATTACGGTGTTTACACATACTTCAATGTTCACTAAAGATTACGGTGTTACCTAACACATGCTCTTGTTGAAGTGTTTGAGAGAAAAGTTATGTTATGTGAAGATTGGGATGGTCAGATGTCCAGTTTGTCAGAGTCCAAGAAAGTGGACTACGTTCATATATCGTAGGTACAGGAGTTGAAAACCAATACGGTAGTAATTAGGTTCAATATCATGAGGTGGAAGTACTGAGATCCGGAAAACTGGGATGTCGCTAGAATTTCACGTGACATTGACTTAACATAAATTGTTTTTTTTTTAAAGCATGATTTCAAAGTTTATTTGAGAAGAAGTAGATTAACGTGGTGAAACAGGAATCTAACATCGTTACGTCAAACTGCCACATATGTTCATTTTGAAACAATAACATACAGAGGATTGGGGAAGTTTTTGTTTGTTTGTTTTGAATTTCGCGCAAAGCTACACGAGGGGTATCTACGCTAGCCGTCCCTAATTTAGTAGTGTAAGACTAGAGGTAAGGCAGCTAGTCATCACCACCCGCCGCCAACTCTTTACCAACGAATAGTGAGATTGACCGTTACATTATAACGCCCCCACGGCTGAAAGGGCGAGCATGTTTTGGTGTGACGGGGAATCGAACCCGCGACCCTCAGATTACGAGTCGAGCGCCCTAACCACCGCCGGGCCGCTTGGGGAAGTTACTGTAAAACGATTTTTAATATGCATATCAGCAAGTCACGTGACAATCACAAACGACATAAAGTTGTGGTGGAATGGAATGTATAAGAACTACGTTGTTGACATTTCGTAGATAGTGTGTTCCTACTGAAAATTGATTGCAATTGAGAATAGGTTAATAGGTTGAATTAGATAAGAATCATGTAACATTTAAATAAATATTAACATTAATAGGTTGAATTAGATAAGATTCATGTAACGATTAAATAAATATTGACGTTAATAGGTTGAATTAGATAAGATTCACGTTACGATTAAATAAATATTAACGTTAATAGGTTGAATTAGATCAGATTGACGTTACGATTAAATAAATATTAACAATCTAATTCAACCTATTAACAGATTCATGTAACGATTAAATAAATATTAATGTTAATGGGTTGAATTAGATAAGATTCATGTAACGATTAAATAAATATTAACGTTAATAGGTTGAATTAGATCAAATTCATGTAACGATTAAATAAATATTAACGTTAATAGGTTGAATTAGATAAGATTCATGTAACGATTAAATAAATATTGACGTTAATAGGTTGAATTAGATCAGATTCATGTAACGATTAAATAAATATCAAGGTTAATAGGTTGAATTAGATAAGATTCATGTAACATTTAAAGAAATATTGACGTTAATAGGTTGAATTACATAAGATTCATGTAACGATTAAATAAATATTAACGTTAATAGGTTGGATTAGATAAGATTCACGTTACAATTAAATAAATATTGACGTTAATAGGTTGAATTAGATAAGATTCATGTAACGATTAAATAAGTATTAACGTTAATAGGTTGAATTAGATCAGATTCATGTTACGATTAAATAAATATTAACGTTAATAGGTTGAATTAGATAAGATTCATGTTACGATTAAATCAATATTAACGTTAATAGGTTGAATTAGATAAGATTCATGTTACGATTAAATCAATATTAACGTTAATAGGTAAAATGCGTGTCTGAAATTATTAGATATTTTTTCAAGTTCATAAAATTCGTTAGTTCTTACTCGTTACTCACTCTTAACTTTTCAAGAAAATTATAATCAACTAATAAACAGTATTTGTATAATAACAAGTAAACAATATTTGTATAATAACTAGTAAACAATATTTGTATAATAACTAGTAAACAATATTTGTATGATAACTAGTAAACAATATTTGTATAACAACTAGTAAACAATATTTGTATAATAACATTCAGTTAACTTCTGTCGAGAAAATACTTAAAAATACGCTCAGCAAATAACACAATTTTCACAGAAAGATTAAAAGTGTCCCCCTGGTGGCTAAGCAGTAAGTCTGAGGGCTTACATCTTATAGGTTTTTTGGATACCTCTAGTTTGAAGAGCACAGGTAGCCTATTGTTTAGCTTTAAGCTCAACAAGAATAAAGATTCAAAGTAAGATATTTAAGATTGTTTAATTTTGTATTCCAACCTAAACAAAATAACTCTTACCGAGCAGCACCCTCTGGTGGTGAGCTTAGCGCCATATAACATTAAAAATCAGGGTTCGATAACGTGGGGTGGACACGGCACAGGTAGTTCTATTTTTTAGCTTAGCCCTTAAAAACAAAAAAAAAAACCAACTTACCTAAGCTGACCTTGGAGCAGTGTGGGGTAACTAGGCCTGATGGGCACAGAGAAGTCTACATAAAGATGGAACGAACCAGTCAGGGTTATAGTTTCATTAAACCACTTTCATAATTGGCTTAGAAATACAAAAACAAAACTAAAAGCTTCTTTGGAAGGAAATCTCTTTATTTTTATAACAAATTATTAAAAACAATATTAAGCTTCGTGTTCCTTACCTAAGGTTCTGTTCTGTTGTACTCATGTATATAACTAATCCATTTAATTTTCTTACTTTCCATTAAAAAGATGTCTGTCTAGTTATATGAGGATGTTTAGATTTTAGAGGTGAACACAGAATGGTCGAGACTATTTTTTTATCTCCTTTATAGTGGTCACCAGGGTGAACACAGAATGGCTGAGATATGGGAGTTACTCTTTAATCAGTCTCGGGGTGAACACAGAATGGTTGAGAATTTAGTGTTATCTCTTCCATAGTAGTTACTATAATGAACACAGAATGGTTGAGAATTTAGTGTTATCTCTTTCATAGTAGTTACGAGAATGAACACAGAATGGTTGAGAATTTGGTGTTATCTCTTTCATAGTAGTTACGAGAATGAACACAGAATGGTTGAGAATTTGGTGTTATCTCTTTCATAGTAGTTACGAGAATGA